AGGAAGGTCACGTGAGCTGCCTGAGGAGGAGATGACCCTGCCCTGTCCCACTCAAGCAATGACTGTAGGCGGTGGGACAGGAGCCAGGGTGTATGCAGGCCCTGGTGGCCCGGGCAGCAGGCAGGATTCTCTACCTGAAGCCCTAGAGGTGGGTGGCCCTCCTGAAGTCACCTGACATCTCCATTCATAATTCTGAATAGTAACGAGACCAATAGGTGTGTCCTTCATTATGTACCGTGCCAGGAAGTGTATTTGGTATTCTATTGAATTCTTTTTATAACAATATAGCCAAAGGTTATATTGAGTCAAACCAATGAGTGGCAGCACCTACGGATGGGAACACTGAGGTTGAAAACAATTAAGGAATTTGCCCAAGGTCAGAAGACGGCAAAACTGAGATCCAAACCCAGATAACCGAGCTAACTCCACACCATTCTGGGGCTGGGGACCAGGGAAGCTGCGCGGCAGACTGCCTGACTCCTGGCTGTGCGCGGCGGGGTGGGGGAAGCCCCTCGGTTCATTCATTCTCCAGGCACTGCTCTGGGTCAGCTCTGCACCGGCTGTGCCCAGCCCAGGAGAGACACAGGACACAAGGTGTCCCCTCAGGGGGCTCCTGGCCTGAGGGTCCCAAGCATGCCGACACGTGTACTGCACTGTGGACACACGGTTGGCCTCTCTGTGCCCATTTCCTCAGTCCCAGAAGGAAGGGGCTGATCAAGATGTCACTGGTTTCTCCCTGCACCCCAAACCTCTGAGGATGACTGGGGTGCGCTGAGCTTTCTGGGAGCTCACTTGCTGTACGAGGCCCCTTCACATACGCCATCTCATGGAATTCTCACTCCAACTCGGCAAAGTGGGCACCACAGCTCAGACTTCACAGAAGAGGAAACTGAGGCCCAAAGAGATTACACAGCTTGCCCAAGGTCACACAGCCGGGCACAAGGTTGCTGGGACTGGAGCTTGGCTTTAGCTCATTTCGAGGGTCCCAGCCTAATCACACAGGTACACTGGCAGTGTCCACCGGGCTACAGCCAGGCACGGGAGAGGGGATTTCTGCTTGGGCCGGGCCATATTGTGGTGTGACTACAGTGCACAGACCTGGACTCCCTGGCCTTGGTGAAGTGGGGACTGGGTGAGACGATTTCTAAGGCATCTTCTAGCTTTAACGCTCTTGTAGGAGGCTGGGGGAAGAAAGCAGTAGACAAAAAGAGTAAGATGACATCTCTGACTTCCAGAAGCCTAAAATCCAGGTGAGGGCAGACAAGCAGTACCAACCTCTGTACTGCTGGGAGTGCCCACCAGAGGGCTAGGGCCAGGAGGGGTGGCTTCCTGGAGGAGAGGTAGAACCAGGTGCCAAGGGCCAAGGGGTCATGGCCTCCAGCAGGGGCAGGGTGGCTGGGCAGATGGTTAAGAGAGTGGGCAGGGAAAGCCTGTTCTTATTTTAGAAATAAAACCACATGCTCAGTGCCCCTTTGACCAGTCAGCCTGGCGGGTGGCATGGGGGTCCTTTTTAAGGGAGAAGGTATTGAAATGGTGCAGGACTGTCACCATTCATCTGCTTTTTAATTAACTCACCCTGCTGCCTTAAGTGATTCCCTGCTCACGCTCATTCTTTTGAAAATTCCAAAGTGCTATTTCTGACCTGTGATTTACTATTGCTGTACGTCTCTATAAGCAGTGTTTTAGCTTAAGTGGCAGTTGCATATTAATTACAAAGTTAATTATGTGCTGTGTAATCATGCTGTAATTCATTAGTTTACTCTATACTCTGAGAGCCTCATGCTAATAGCGAGATCTGACAGGGTTTCTGGAATCAACAAGAAAGACCCGCTGGAAATCCCAAACAGGGCTGAAAAACACTGGAGACCCCAAGCCCCTTCCCGCCCAGGGCTTCTAGCAGGCACACAGTCTGGGACACGAGAGTCTGTGGGGGATGGTGAAAAATCCAGGTGGGTCATATTTTTCCCCCATGGAAGTGCAGGGACAGGAAGAGAATTTGTTTAAAATTACTTACGGAACAGAGAGTCACTTTGAGGTGAAAAATTAACTGCTCAGATCACCCAAAGTGGCCCTGAGAGCACAGATCACGGGGCAGCCCAGGGAAGGCCTTGGACAGGACTCAGGGCCAGGTAGTTGTTCAAATGGGAAGACCCAGGCCAAAGGGTGTGGGTGGTGGCTGTGTGTCTGGGATTTGGACGGAAGTCTCTTCACAGCCTTTCTCTCCTCTACAGCATCCTCAAAACCATCTAAGGACCCGAAAGTGAACACTGGACATATTTCACTCTCCCTTCTCCTGTTTGTAACTCTTGGGGTCATCGGGCCTGGCTTTGACGCCTCTCCACTCCTCAGACAGCCTCGAAACCTTCTGACCCAGGTGAGGGCTCCCAGTCTCCCTGCACAGGGAGCCGATGACGGACAGGAACGGACACAGACACTCCAGACACTGCCCAAATCTTGACTGCTCTGGGGTTATTCCAGGGGATTCTTTTTTAAACCATCTCTTCCAAGGTCCAGTGTTGTCAGCCGCTGAAGAATCATCCACGATCCTCCAATGGCATTTAAAAGTCAAAGTGAGTAAAGACAGACCTGCCCCAAAAAGTCTCCCTTCACCCCCAACTCTGCAAATCTGTGGATCAAATTTCAAGCCTTGCTGAGGGAGGAGAAGATACAAAGGCTGTGACCTACCCCGGACATAGCGATCTGGTGGCGGAGACCCTCTGCTTTCCAAATATAAACCTGCTTGTTTTATTTCTGCTGACAGCTGAACGAGGAAAAAAAAAAAAAGATGTAGAAGTCCTTTCCCTTCTGGCTCCAGTCAACAATTGGAGAGAAGGACTTGGAGCCCCAGCTGGCATGGGAGGAGGATAAATAAGGAAAAACAAAACATGTCCTTGTGCTACAGTGGAATGTTTTAGAAAGAGGTGAAAAGCACAAGGTCGGGGCAGATTTCAGTTTCTATCATTTCAGCAGGCTCCGGGAGAAGGCAAGATGCTGCCGACTCGACAGTTTTGGGGCGAATCCGTTTTGGAGGGAACTCATTTTGGGAGGGGGGCGTCTTAGCAGCTAAAGTGCTGTGGTTTCCTTTCCTGAGAGCACGCCGGTTTCCCTGGCAACAGAGAAGTCCAGCCTCCAAAGTTCTGATGGGAAACCAAGGCTTGGCCTGGGATGGCTCCTGACCGTTACCCACAGCCAAGGCTTCACTGTCCTGCTCGCTTGGGCAGTGAGTCGGGTAGGAGAGGTGCAAAAATGTTGGCTCTGCAAAAATATGGGCACTGGTCCCTGTCTTTCCCGCCTGCACTTGTGCAAGCAGCTACTCATCCCCAGATTCATCACTTTTCAGGGCTTTATGGCTGAGCAGGTAAAAATCCAGGAACAGCTTGGAAGCAAGCCTTCATTTGACAGCAGCTGACGACCCTGAAGAGTAAAGGCTCAGGGGTGGGCAGCAATGGACCAGCAAGGGCTGGGCTTCATGTAGAGCGCACTTTGGCCCTTGTGCAGCTAGCACAGGGAAACTGGATCAGAGGATCAGGTTGGGATTTCTAAAGTCCTGTCTCCCTCCATCCACACTCGCTCACACAGCTCCACTGGCACCTCCTAGACTTAGAACCCATCTTCCCAGAGGGAAAGATTGAAAGGTCTGGCCCGGAAAGATGCAGTCGGTGCATCAGGAGGGGAGGGAAGAGGGGTGAGTGAGAGTCAGCGAGGAGAGGAGGCAGAGAGCGGGCTGGCGACTGCATTTGAATCGCACTTATCCGGGCGCCTCTGGGACCTGTGCTAAGTGCTCCACACACATTATCTCATTTAATTCGTTCTCCAGCTGCCCAGCGAGGCAGGCACAAGTATCCCTCGATGGAGAGAATTGAGGGGTTAAGTGACGTGCCCAAGGCCACCCAGTCAGTGCATGGCAGAGCAGTGAGTCACACCTGCCCGTCTCCAAGGCCTGTTCTCACGCTCACAGCTCACAATGCTGCGTGTGCACATTGGGAGGGGGGTGGAAGGAGAGACAGGGGCAGAGAAAGCCACTCTGGCCAGCGGTTCCTTTCCCTGGTTTTGAAAGGAAGACAGAGGTTCCTGGAATCCTCCCCTCTGCTCCCCTCCCCAGAACCTCCCCTTTTCTTCTAAACAATCCGCACTCTGTCCTCCCACAGGAAGACAGGCCATGGAGCAGAGCCACCTGGAGACTGAACCAGAGGCCCTGTGCAGAATCCCACCTCAAGGCAGAGGCAATGCTGGCCAGCATTTCCTGAGGGTCTGATATTGCACCCTTCACCTCCTTTTAACAACCTTGTGAAGTAGACAGGAATAATCTCTTTTCCTGAGGAGGCACTGGAGGCTAGGAGAGTGTCATGAGTATGTCCAAGTTCAAGTAGCCAGTATGAGGCAGAGCTGGGATTCTGGCCCTGGTCTGACCTCAAAACCCAACCCTGAACTGACGACGATGATGATGATGATTCGAGGCTGACCCCGTGCCTTCCTGAGCTCTTCCTATGTGCTCTGCCCTGCTTGAAGCACTCAGCATATATTGATCTGTTTTATTCTCTCAACCATCCTATGTAACACACGCTACAATTAGCTCCATTTCACAGAGAGAACAGACACAGCTTTGAAAGCAACACAGCCAAGGGCATTGCTAGTAAGTCACAGAGCCAAGGTTCGAACCCAGCCAGGCAGACTCCAGAGCTCTCACTCGTAACCCACATAACACGCTCTTTCTCCAACCATGGGGATACGCTGCCTCCCAGCCTTGCGTCCTTTATTCTAGACGGTTCTGGAACCCTGTTAAGGCAGGCAGCAGTGTGGAGGCCCAGAGTTTTCCCTTCATAGAGCTCACCAAACTAGAGAACTGGGGAATATCAAGCAGGACCTGGACTGTGTCTCTGCACATGTGGGCGTGTGTGTGTCTGTGTGTGTGCATGCACAAGCCTCAGGCCTGTGCTGCACCCTGGGTGTGCATGCAGCTGATTTATAACCCTCCAAGAAAACAGAATTGCAAATCTCACCCACAAATCTTCCTTATCGAGGTACTTGCGACAGGCAGACACGTCGTGAATTCCCAAGAACAGGCAGGCCTCCCCCCAGCCTCAGCTCCCTCGTGCTCCCTGCTCCACGGGGCCTGAAAGGGGCCAAGGGTTGGCTCTGAGAAGTCCCTCTGGCTGCCAGCAGTCTGGCCAGTTCACCCCTGGGAGTGGGTGCCAACCTAGGAGGACTTGGTGCTGCTTATTGGAAATGCTGGCTCCTGAGTGACCCAGCCCAGGGAGAGCCCCATCAGGTACAGTTATGGGACCCTCCCGGCTGACCCACCTCTGGGTAGGGCCTTGAAACACCTACAGAACTGAGGAGGAGAAAAACATGCATCTAATGAACACGTGCCATGCACACACCATGTACTGTGCTAAGTGTTAGAAATTTACTTCATTGAATCGCCATGGAGACCCTGGAGACAAGGCCCAGAGAAGTCAAGTGGCTGGGCTCAGCCCCGGAAGCCAGGCAGGCTGATTCTAGAGGCTGAGCTCACAACAACGCCACCATGTTCTCCCCAGCCCTGGGCCTCCTCAAATCCTCACACCCCTTAGGTTTCTCAGGCCTTGTCCCTAGCATACATACCCTTACCCACTTTCCCCCAGAGCGGTTTGGGTCCGCTGGGGCACCTTGCTTGTATTTAATCCCATCCCAGTGTTCACAGATGTGGGCCACTGGGAATGATGCTTGCACACCCAAAATCAGTGCTGCTGCAGTCTGAGTCCAGCTCACACTGTCCCCCCAGACCCAGCCCATACCTCACCCACAGAGCCCTCTCCAGCAGCAGGCCCCTCTGGGTCTGCAGTCACCCCGTTGATACTCCTGGCCCCCACCTTCTCCTGGAGATGAGCAAGAAGGAGGCAGGCGCACCACGCAGCAGCCGGAGGCAGCCCAGGCTTGGCTCTGCTCTAACCTGCTGTGTGACCTAGGTCAGTCCCACGCCCTTTTTAGTTTTGTCTTTTCCACCTAGAAAATGAGCTGGGCTTGCACCCAGGGGGATTCAGTTGCATGAGCAGGAGAGACAGCCCTTGCGCCTCAGGGGAAGTACATCTATGCACACACACACACATGCATGCTCGCAAACACACACAGTCCTGGTAATGTCAGGTGACTGAATTCCCCATCCCAGCCCAAACGGAGCCAGGCACCAGCCCGCCCTTCCTGTGAGGTGTTTCTCGTCTCTCTCTGGCTTGGCACTGGGTGAGTCCTGGCTCCTCCTCCTCCAGTCCAGACTCCTGCAGCCCCAAACCTGTAATCCCCAGCAGGGAAAATGACAGCCTTGTCCAGCAGCCGCCCTCAGCTGGTGGTGGGGAGCCGGGCGGTGGCGGTGGTGGCGGTGGCTGGGAGGCGGGCCGGGACATGCAGCCGCCAAGTCAGGGGAGGTCAACGGTGGGGACAAATGCCATGGGGACTGTGGGCTGTGGGTAGAGGAAGGATGAGAGAGAAGAGCAGGGAGGGATGGGCTCAAGGCCCCAGGGCTGGCCCGAGACCGGCCTGAAGCAGGACAAGGCCCAGAGAGGGTCACAAAGGGGCGTGACCCTGACAGCCAGGCTCTAGAAGGCACCAAGGTGAGCACTACCCACGGTTTGGGGTTTGCAGAGCTACAAGCACACTGATGCCTGGGCCTCGCTCCGGCTCCCTGGGAGGGCCCAGGAACCTGCATTTGAGAATGTGCCTCTGCGGTCTGGTTGCAGCTGGTGGGGAGGTGGCTGCTCAAGCCCCTGGGTTGCCTCTGCCCCAGGGAGGTGCTGGGGTCACTCCTGCCTGTGCTGTCTCCTCCACAGAACCCACTGCCACTTGGCGGGAAGACAAGGCTACCAACAGCACCAGCAACACCACAACCACGTCTGCCCAGCCGGTCACCTCCAGCCTCCTCAGACGCAGGTAGCCCGTTTGTAGCAGGGCCACAGGACTGTCCCCATTGACCAAGGCTTGGAGAAGAGAATGCTAGCTTGAGTCAGCCCCTGAGCCTCCTCCCGGACCCCTCCCCACTGGGAAGGGCCATCAGGAGGCTGAAGCCTGGGTGCTCCCTGCGCCCGCCCAAGCCTGCTCTAGCAGGAAGACTGGACGCAGGGCCACACGGACTTTCGGTCCATCTCAGTGGGAATCCATGGTTCTGTCTCTGGGAATGGAAGATCCCGCACACGGCCACGCTGTCCTGACTCCCTCGTGGCCTTGGATGGGTCACTTCCCTTCGCTCAGCCTCTGTTTCCCCATGAGAAGACAGCTGTGGGAGGAGGCTGGATTTGGGGAGGCACAGGCCACGAGGGGGCGTTCTAGCTGGAGCAGAAGCTGGGGTGGGAGAGCAGTTGGAAATGTTTCGACATGCTGGCCCCGAACGCTGGGCTTGAGCTGGGGCTGGGGTCAAAGTTGCAGCTGGACTTGGGGTCAGCACTGGGCTTCTCTGACTGGCCCTGTCTGAAAGTCTCTTCTGGGCACTTGATCCCCCCCGAGCAGGGGCCCCATTGTCTCGGTCACATGGAAAGACCAGCTGAGGCTGCCTGCTCAGAGGAAGGTGGCAGTGTTTGCTGAGGGCCGCCACAGAGGGGCAGCTCAGGCTCCCACACCTCTGGGGAACTCGGAGGAGGAAGGGGTGCTGCCTGCTTCCTTTGGGCAAGCCTGAGCAAAGTAGGGGCAGGGCCTCAGCCTACCAGGTGTTACCCTCAGATGCAAGCCCTGGGGTGACAGTCCATGGGACAGAGGAGGCACGTGGCGCTTAGGCCCTGGAAAGAGGAGGGTTCATTTTGGTATCAGGGAAGCCGGCTCTGGCCTGGGTCAGGGTTATTGGATGGACCAGGCCCAGCTACACTGGGCTAGGACCCACTGTGGTCAGCCCCACAGCCACCATCACTCATAATGTCCTAGAGGACACTGGAGGACCCAGCCTCTTTAAGGATGGTGATGCTGGTGGACAAGCCACTAGGATGACCCTGGGGCATTCCTTCAGTCCATGCCCCTCCAGAGCCCCTTCCCCCAGGACTGTCCCCGCTCAGGAGTAGGACATGCCCCATTCTGGCTCCTTTCCATCCCCTCTTCCCTCACTGTCTCCATCTGTCTCCTTCATCTTCGGGGTGCTGTGGGGCACCAGCCTGTCTCCACCCTCACCACCCTGCAGGAAGGGGACAGGCGGACAGGAGACAGAACGAGTGGATGAGGGGCAGGCCAGTGGAAGACGGTGCCTGCCTGCCATGGTCCAGCCTGCCCCATCAGCCCAAGGATGCTGATCTGACACTGGCCTCCCAGAGAGGGTGGTGGTACGCATGGTGGTTGTCCCTGTGGCCTGCCTGCCTGGAGTGCCTGCTCACCCACTGCCTGGTCCCCACCTGCCTCGGCCTTGCCAGCCCCTCCCCTGCCCCCATGCGGGCCTGAGATGGCTGTTGCCATGGCAACCCTGCTCATTCAATCCAGGGATAATGAAGCCAATGTGTTTTTCATTTCCATGAGCTTGAGTGCGGAGCAGAGCAGAGAGAGGGGCTTTCCCCTCTTGGCCCCTCCTTCCCGGGGACGAAGCAGACTGCAGAGGGGCAGTGCACGGGGCCTGACCAGTAGACGGAAACGTACCAGTGGGAAAAGGCTGGGACCTGGAGCCACCCAGCTCTCTCTCAGCTCACCACAGTGGGCATGTGGATGGGCAGTGCCAGCTGGATGGCAGGCCTCTTTGCCAACACTCAGCCTGGGAGAGGCGTGGTACCCCAGAGACTGAGTAGGGGTGCAGAGCCAGGCAAAACAGGGCTCTGTTTCCGGCTGTGTGACCTTATACTGGTTACCTCACCTCTCTGGTCTTACTCTAGTAGAATTAAGATCACCAGGCACTAACTAGGTGCCTATGTGAGTGGCTGGCCTTCTGCCGTCCCCAAGGATCCAGACAGAACCCAGACAGAGCCCCTGTCCTCTAGGAGTCCGCAGGTTAGTGGGACAAGGAATTCATATCAGGCGCCCTTCTCAGCTCTGACTGAGGCCAGAAACTCTTACCTGTTGCTACCAATAACAGTAACTCTTGGAGTTACCCTTGGAAGACTGGCACATACAGTAAGTGTTTCATGTGCTAGCATCCCTCCTCTTCTCCATCCTGGGTCCCTGGCCTGTAGCACAGAGATAGCAGATGTTTAAGAAATGTTCATGTGTGAGTCAGCAGTCACAGCTGCCCTGACTCCTCTACTTCCTCCCGGGCCTGGACTGAGATGGGCCCGCTCCTCTGGAGGTGGAACCTGGGCCTGAGCGGAGCAGCGCTGGGCCGGGCGGGGGCAGGGCTCCATGCGGCCCTGGCTTGGGAGAGCAGGGCTGTCTGGGAGATCCGTGGCCCATGGTTGCCACCACACACCTCCCCCAGCCCCTTCCAAGGGCAGGAAGCCAAAAGCACTCACGCAGAAAACCCTGGCCTGTCTCCCCCACAATAATTCAATCACCTTGGAGACCAGTGGCCCTCTCTCCGGCTGGGCTGACAGATTAGAGCTGGAGGGAAGGAAGCATGCGGGGGTGGGGGAGGGGTGGGGCAGGGATGCCGACATGGAGAACTCAGAGCAGGGCTTGAAAAGTGAAGACATTAACCCACCAGGAGGAGACAACCTTAATCTGTCCTCCATAAAGCTGTCTTGGGGCCACCAAGAACGTCAGCAGGGCACAAGGGGCTGAAGCTGGCTTCTTCTGGGACCCGCTCCACCCCCGCCCAGCTGGGCTCCAGCCCCAACTGGTGAGGGGTCTGGGAGGAGGGAGGCTGGATGGACTTGCAGATTAAAAGGGGCCGGAGCAGAGGAGGGGCAATGATGGGGAGAGTGGGGAGGACAGCGCTTCTGGTAGGCGTCACTCACCAACACACAGTAGGCACTCTGTTTAGGGACCAACTGAGTAAGGGAATGTGTGACCACACCTGCAGGTTGTCAGCAGGCAGCGCTGTGGCAGCAGGTTGAGTGGGGCCATGAGCACTCGAATGGGGCCCATTTGCCCATTTCACAGATGCGGAGACGGGACAGGCGTGTCAGAGTCACAAAGTTAATCAGAGACACTGGGACTTCCTAGCATGAGGGGCCAGGCCGAGCCGTCCTTACCATCAATTATACTGCAGATTCGGGGCATCTCCCCAGGGTCCCCAGCGGCACCTCGGCACACCCAGCCCAGGCCAGCAGCAAGCTAACTGTGAAGGGGAGACTGCCCTGGCCCCTCCTAAGGCCCTTCTATGTGGCCATTAAGAAGCATGTCTAATAGGAGCACTGGATGGCCCTGAAGCCTCCTCATGACTTAAGTCCAAAAGCAAAGCAAAGAAAATTATAAGCGGACCAGAAAGAAGTCCACTAAAATGACGACCAGGGCAGCCTGTGGGTGGGAGGATCACAGGGCAGTGCTGTTTTTCTGCCTTCACTTCTCTGACTTCCAGACTTTCTGCAGCAAGCACGCATATACTTTACAACAAGAAAAAAAAAGGACAGTATTAAAGTTTAAAATAAATCACTTCCACTAAATGTGCAAGATTCTCCATTTACAGGACAAAGTCAAACTCATGCTGGGTTAGGCAGCAGCTCTGCTTAGGTACCCAGGGCCACACACAAGAGCCTCCAAGTGTCCCAGGCCCTGTGAGGACACTCCGGGGCAGGAGCCAGGTCCCTCTTCCGTTGGTGCTGTGTGTTGGGCAAGTCCAGTGCCTCTCTGTGCTCTGCCGGTCTCCCTACACCCTTCCCACCTCTCAGGGAGGGTACGAGGACGAATGGTCTGGGCGTGCTTGAACTCACCCTGTAAGCCTTTGTCAACTGAGGGCACAGGGCTTCTCCAGTTAGAGGGGTGCCGTCTGGGGCAGAGGGGCAGCTGAGGTGCCTCCAAAGACAGGGCCGAGGGGCCCGGCCTGAACCGCTCCAGGCGGCCAGGCCAGCTTTCCTCCGCTGTTTACGGTGGAAACACAGACTTGAAAAGGCTTCACTTTTCCACTGTTTTTGTGGCGGTGCTGTGGGGAGCAGGGCTTCCTGAGAGCGAGGCCAGCTTTCCAAGGCCACACTGAGTCCAGCCCCAACAGGAAACATCATGTTTTCAATTTACAGGTCCCTGCCAGGCGCTGCGAGCAGACCCACGCTTCCCTGGCACGGCTGTGTGGGGAGAGCAGGGCCCTGCTGCAGCTGGGAACCAAGGCGCCCGGGTGGGGCCCCAGGACCCAGAGGGCCTCCTGTGGTATCCTGGAGGGGCCTCATTCCCAGTGCACAGCACAGTTTATACCGTTTTGTTAGCAGCAGATGCACCAGAGACACAATTGCACAAACTCCAATCCCCCGCCTCCTGGCGCTCACATCAGCCAGTCTACCTTCCTACTGAGTAGATGGGGAAACTGAGGCCCAGGGAGAAAAGGGACGTCCCAATGCCACCAGATTATCAGTGAAGAAAGTCTGACCTTAACCCAGATTGGCAGATTCCCAACCGAGGCCCCTGGCCAAAGCAGACTGTCCCACCCCCCTCTGATGACAGAGATGACAGCTCACCTCCACTGCACGCCTCTCACAGTCCAGGCCCTGCAACCTCCAAAAAAGCCTTGCTATCAAGCAGGGCCTGCCAGCCCCTCCTATCCCCAGGTGCTTCTGGGAAATTCCTGGTAAACTGAGCAATGCTTGGAGGAGGAGTGTTCACTCAGCCCGTGTGCACTGAATGTTACGCTGATGGACGATGCCTTGGGACAAGGAGGATGAGGGCTGACTCCCCACCTCCCCGAGCCTCGGGGTTCCAGTAGCATGATCAGGAGGGTGACTGGGTTGGACTGTCAGGAGGCCTCGGAGCTCTAAGATCTATGCCTCTCTCCTCCCTGCCAGACTGTCAACTCCATGACACAGACACCTGGTCTCCTGCTCAGAGGTATCCCAAATACTCAGAAGAGTGCTGGTCCATCATAGGTGCTAAATAAACATCTGCTAAATGACTGAGCAGTGGTGGCTGGAGGGGGCTCCGCTCACATGGTGGATTTGGAGAGGCCTGGGAGCTCTCCCCACTAGCCATGTATTAATGACATTTCGAGAGAGAGGAGACACATCCTGGCCTGTTGGGCCTCCGGAGCGCGTGTGGTCTGTGTGGCCAGCCCCTCCCCTCCACAGCCCCAGCCCAGGATGCACAGTGCCCTCTCTGTGCCCCGTTTCTCACTTTCTGGGACTCCCTGAGCTCTAGCAACAGACAAAAGGCACATTTTCAGGGAACATCATCCCTTGTTTGTTTGTTTGATTCACAAACTCTCCTCTCTCCGCCTTTTCCCATCCAGGCCATTCCTGCTCTCAAACATGAGCCACTCTCCAGGCCGTGGCGGTGAGGGGGGGCTGTGACGGCCAGACTCACACCGGCTCCTGGGAGTCCTATGGGCTAGGCCTGGAGGGTCTGCTGCAGCCAGGAACACAGGGCCTGGAGGCAGGGAGGACGCCGGGGCTGCCTGCCAGGAGTGGGCTCCACACTCTACACTCTGCCTGCAGGCTACCTTCCTGCTGGCTGGCCCACGGGGAGTGGGGAGGAACCTGAGCCCAGCCCAAGGTGAAGCAGAGATGGAGGTATGTGAGGGGTATGGTGGCCAGGAGGAGGGACACATGTGTGGGTCTGTACATGTGCGCGCGCATGCGCGCGCTCACACACACACACACACACACACACACACACACACACAGACTAGAGAATTCCTCAGAGACAAGCAAGCTCCAAGATGGAGCCCAGACCAGACCAGCCCAGAGATAGAGAGGAGGCCTCCTGCGGGAAGGGCACCCTCACCCCAGCTGCCTGGGGCAGGACAAATCCAAGTGAGAGACAAAGCCAGACAGACCAAATGGGTGAGCAAGGGGCGCTGGGAAGTGCAGGGGTGATCGTGAGAGGAGCCCCATACACAGAACAAGGCAGAGCCAGAGCGAGTGGCAGGCGGGCAGCTGCAGCTGCTCAGAAGCGTGAAGGGGTCAGGACAGAGACAGGTGGGCAGAGCATACCCTGGGTGCAGCCGCCCCACTCCTGGGCAGACTGCTTGGGGTTTCTTTTGGGTTATGAATTGGGGTAAGGCTTGCTGCCACCAGTGGTCTCCCTCCCTGTCTGGGTGCTGTGATATCAATGTCTGAGATGGGCCACTGAGTCCCCACTGGCTCCTGCAAGGACCCCCTTCCTCTGCACCTTTGAAGTCTGGTGAGCTGCCCTGGAAGATACACGCTGGCTCTTCTCTTTCCTAGCTGGCTCCAACCCTCAGCATCAGCTCATACTCAGAGAAGGGGCCTGGGAGGAAGATCAAAGACACACAATGGAAGGAGGAAAGCCCCCAGGGGAGCCAGGTGTCACCTAAGGATGCTGTGCCCTGCTCTGCAATGGGCTGGGCCTCTTCAGGCAAAGCCCCTTATGTCCTCAGTTTCTCCCATCCAAAGGGGGTGGGACTGTTGGACCTTCGGATCCCCCAGCCTCTGGCATCCAGAATTTTACATTCAGCCCGCCTCCTGTGTGTGCTGCGGGTTTCCTGAGCACTCCTCCTTCCCACCTCAGCTGCATTTCTGAACTAACACTGAACTCTTCTATGTCCCACATCAACTGTGCTTGGATTATGAAGGCCAGACTTGCAGAAGGACATCTCAGCTACAAAGGGGATTCCCAACATGACCATCCCTTCCCCACCAGCACCCAGGGGGCCGAGCCACTCTCCTGAGTGCACCTGGTCTCTGTCCTCTGGCATGCTAGGTTTCTATGAAAGCTCAGTGAGAAATGGCACAGTCATTCCACAGATCAAAACCTTCACCGGCTCCCCACTGCCCATGAAATGGAGGTGCAATCTACCAGCAGGGCCTCACCACCTGCCACTCCTCCTTCTCGCCCCTCTGGAGCCAACACCTGGGAGTCCAGGGTTTGGTGTGCCTTTGTCTTCGCTAACTTTGTTCTGTCCAGTTGGTCACGGCCTTTCCCTGCCCCTCCCAGAGGAAGCTGTGTGTCCCCGGTGTCCCCAAGGCTGACCCTACCCTGGCTGAGAACTGTCCTGGGT